CATTGTGAAACAATAATGTGTAAAGAAATTTGTCTAAAATTAATTTTTAATATTTTTTATATTATTTACAGTCATATAACAAGTTATTAGTAAATGTTAACAATAAAAAAAATTTACTTCACTTGGGAAAAAAATAATTTATGCATTATTATTTGTACATTTGCCCAAAACCAGTCAAAATGACTTCCTTGGGCAATCTAGTGTTAAGGTTGTTTGTAAGTATTTGGTTATTTTAATTCTGTAATATTATTCCGTGTTTAACATTTCCGTTTTTCGTTGCTCAGGTACGAAGAGGAAGACCGAGGCCGAGCCGTCAGCGTGGAAGCGTTAGTATCGACGATTTGGCTGGACGAGTGGGGCGAGACGGTCGACAGCTACGCGGGGATCCTCGTCGGCTGTCAATTACCACCGGACGTGGCAGTCGAGCCATCTAGGGTGCACGTAGGCTTGGCTCCCTGCCACAAGAATGCTAGTCATAGCGTAAGGATAAACACGGTCCGCGGAGACGAGCCGAATCGACGACGCAGACAATTCACTATCTGCATCAAAGGCCTGGACTTCGACGAGGACATATCGTCAAAAATCGTCGCTTTCGTCGAGCTTCATCGCATACTAGGCGCCGAGCTGTTCTACTTCTACGTGTTCAGCGTTCACGAGAACGTGTTGAAAGTTTTGAGGTTATACGAACGGTCGAACGTGATCCGATGGTTCAATCTGACTCTACCGGGCGACCTGCCTAACGACAGGACCGCCAGACGGCTGTTGCTCAGTGAGGACATCTGGATGAAGAGGCGGATGGAACTCATACCGTACAATCACTGCTTCTATGACAATCTTCATCGCTCCGAGTACGTCGTGCCCATCGACATCGACGAGGCGATCGTTCCGGCTAAACGGAACAACTGGCACGAACTGTTGTTGGACGAGCGGATGAAACTCGGCAGAAGTTTCAAAGATTTCGCATCGTACGCCGTCAGAAACGCCTACTTCTTCCCGGAACTGCAAACCAGGAACCGAACCAATGCTTCGGATCGCTTTCTGGACGATTTGGATTACTTGGACACGGTCCGAACGGCTTGTATCTCGCCAGAGGGCGACTCTGTGAAGAGTTTCGTCTCGACCAGGCGAGCGTTGACTGTTCACAATCACTACGCGCTGACCACGCTCAATCCGTCCACCAGACGGGCCCATCACTTCGACCCAGACGACGTTCTCAAACATCACCATAGAGCTTGCGACGATAAACACTTGGACTGTGAACTTTTGATAGAAGACGTTATGGTTGACGAGTCCGCGATTAAATACGTGAACGAACTTAAAGAGAGGATGAAGGTAGTTTTCGACGACCTTAAAACGTCTACGTAATGTACATAATAAAAAAGAATTTACATTCATAGTGATTTATAGTCATTTCATTCCCTGTATTGTATCCTTCGATTCCTGTTAATAAATTCCATTCGTTTGAAGCGGAAACTTTTGTTTTATGGAGTAATACAAGATGACTATGAAAATAGTTAATTGTTTATTTGGTATAATTCTTGAATTTTTCTATAATTATCAATTTATTAACCTATCCAGGAAATTTTTTAAAGTGACTAAATCGATTTAATTGCTTTCTTATTTGGAATAATTTTAATTTAGAAAATACGAAACATACAGGGGCGTCTAGATCCGAGCCAACGCTCCCGATTCGTAGATCGCGCCAACCGAGCGCTC